TGCTGTTAGATGTATGTCTTTAAATTGCATTATAATTTGTAATGGAGGTTTTGTAAAGAGGGTGAACCTAGGAATTAGGTTTTGCAACTGTACTAGAATGTTTACTGCACGTCAGTGTGCAACTTTACCCGGAAAAATCCTGCATCACTAAGGATAGGGAAGTTACTTGTTTTGTTGGTTACTTTTAGTTGTATCGCTTACGGATATGTTCAATGTTGATTCATCTCCACGTCCATTTTCAAGATAGCCAAGGTATCTTATCGATTGATACTTGATTGCAAACTAATGAGCTCACTATACTTCATTACATGCAGAGCGCTTGTGTGCAAACGATGAATAGGCTAGCCGAGCCAATATGAGCCGGATCCCATGAACCCCAAATACCAAGTATCTTCCCAAGGTACACAGGTTTGTTTTGTTTAGATTTGTGACTATACAGAGATACATATTTGGTAGTATTATTTGATCATTCACCAAATTACTGTAAACACTTGGTGACGTAATTCTTTACTAGTGGGATAATATAATTCCTTTGTAATTGTTGTGTATCAATAATGTAACATTTGTACCCGTGATCAAAGATTTGTAAAACATAACTGTAGATTTTGTATTCTGCACCACTATCGATATTCATAATCAGATTATTCTAGTTTTCTTTGGTTTTCAGGCATGACATTTCGAAGGTGAGGTGGTTATTTTATTTTGCAATATAAATACCTTCCCTTGAATATATATAGCTTACTATTAGGATACCCGTGTACTACTCGTACTTGAAAAAAGGGTTAATTGCATAAAAAACCATCACCTTTTGTTTAATTGCAAATAAAACTCAACTTTTTTAATTTGGCAAAAAAATACTTAACTTTTATTAAGTGTTGCAATTTTGTTTCGTCTGCCGGACCGCTGCCGCCAACCACCACCCGTCGCCGTCAATTTCGCCGCATATTGAAAATTTTTATATGATCTTGTAGCTCTCTTCCGTGCCGACAACATATCCGTGTTTCACGAAAAAATTTCATTGATAAGACGTCCAATATTCCGGTCAAAGGTCGTAGATCTAAATTTTTTACGACCATTGACCGAAAAATTAGACGTCTTGTCGTCGAAATTTTTTCGTGAAACTCGGATATGTTGTTGGCACGGAGGAGAGCTACAAGATCATATAAAAATTTTCAATATCCGGCAAAGTTGGCGGCGGGTGGCGGCGGCGGTCCGGCGGACGAGACAAAATTGCAACACTTAATAAAAGTTAGGTATTTTTTGCCAAATTGAAAAGGTTGAGTTTTATTTGCAATTAAACAAAAGGTGGTGGTTTTTTATGCAATTAGCCCTTCTTTTTTTTTTTCTTTTTTTTTT